TTTAGCAGGAATTAAGAATTCCTTCCTTTTACTAAGAAAAGCTTGAGAAATGTTACCATTGGCTCTTTAAATGTGGCAGAATTAAACTGATAGGTCCAGCCAGGGCCTTCTCCTGGTGATTTTGAAGTACTGATTTATTCTCTCTAGCTCTAGGTCTATTCAGTGTTTTCTTTGTGATTTAGTCTTGGTAGGTTTTGTATTTCCAGGAACTTGTCCGACTCATCTAGGTCAAGGGTGGCGAAACTGTGGTGTACATGCTGCAGTGGGCTGTTATTACTGAATGCCCTAAAAGGTTATCTAACTTGTTGACGTAAGATTGTTATAGCGCTTTTACAGTCCTGTTTCTGTAGAAGTAGTAATGTTCTCCACTTTCATGTCTGATTTTAGTTTGTTTGTTTGTTTTTTACCTTAGTTCATCTAGCTAAAAGCTTATCCATTTCACTTTTCAAAGAACTAATTTAGTTTTACGGATTTTCTCTAATTTTTAAATTTCAATTTCTAACTTTTCTATTCTCTGTCCTTATTCCAGTTCCTTAATTTGTAAAGCTAGGTTGCTTGAGTCTTTTTACTGTATGCATTTATAGCTATACATTTCCCTGCTGGCACTGCTTTTGCTGCATCTCATAAATTTTGATATGTTGGGCCAGGGATTTAGCTCAGCAGTTCGGTGGCCTGCCTCGCAAGCGCAAGGACCCCAGTTCGATCCCCGGTACCACAAAAAACAAAAAAATTTTTGATATGTTGTGTTTTTGTTCTCATTCATCTCCAAGTATTTTCTAATTTCCTCATGATTTCTTCTTTGATCCATCAGTTAAAGATGTGTTAATTTTCACAAACTTATGCATCTTCTAGCTTTCTGTTATTGATTTCTAGTCATCCCATTGTAGTCAGATAAAATACTTTGTATGTTATCTAATCTATTGAGACTTAAAATTTGTGGCCTACCAAATGGTCTATCCTGAAAAATCTTTCAGACATAGCACTATCTTTGGACAAAATAAGAGCTCAATAAATGTCTGACCAGTAAGTTCTTGGCCTCTGATGAAAGGGAGGTCAGAATCAAAGCAGAGGCCTACGTAACCTTGCTCAACACCTTACTTAACTTTTCACCTGTGTTCCCAGTTGAAACATCACAATTCCTGCCTCGCAGCCTTGCTGTGAGAACTGGATTAGGGTGAGATCATGCATGGTAAACACCTCCTTGACATAGAGCAAGGACCCTACAAATGCTGGCTCTTCTCCCTTACCCGTTGTCCTAAAATTGGACTGAAATAAATGCGGCCACCCTCACTCAAGGCTTCTAGAATGCAAAATATACCCCTGCCAAGGCGAGATGAATTCAATCTGGGTCTGCCCACTGGCTTTGATGCTGTTGGTGGCTGGGCAACAGAAGTGTGCACCATAGGCCTTAACTTTTCCTCTCCATTCCTCCATCTGCCTAGACACTTCCCTGAAGGGCCAAGAACAGTTCTCTTTTCCTTTGTGCCTTAGTAACATTTTCATCACTGGGACCTGATACCTGACACTTGGCAACTTAAGAAAGAAGTTTATTTTGGCTCATGTTTCACAAATGTCAGTCCATGTGTGGCAGGCTGAAAACACAGGAACGGGGGTGGCAGGGATTAGGCTCAGTGGTGCTGCTGCCTGCCTTGCAAGTGCAAGGTCCAGAGTTCGATCCCCAGTACGACCCCCTCCAAAAAACAAAACAAAACAAAACAAAACAAACAAACAAAACCCCACAGGAACAGGATGGGAGAAGGGCCGGTGTGGAGGAAAGCTGTTCACATTATAGTGGCCAGGGAGCAGAGAGTGAGGAAAGGAGCCAGGGTGAGAGAAAACCCTTGAGGGCCATGCTCCCAACAACCCTCCTCTTCCAACCAGACCCTACCTCCTAACAGCAAGTCAGCCGTACAGCCCCCATGATCCACTTACCTTTCAAAAGCCCAGTCTAGGAACGCTGAGGTTCCGCGGGGGACATCTAGACATAAACCGTAACACTCTGGAAGGAGCTCCTTAACCGGTGAGGGGGTTGGAATGGCCCCACCCCTCCATTTCTGTCGTCCTAGACTATACACGTGGTCCCCGATTCTCACTGGAACTGACCAAAGCAAACACAAGGCCCAGGACACCTGGGTGTAACTTTACTCACAAACTTCAGATCCCTGGCCAGGCCCAGCACAGAGGCCGTGTTCTCACCAGTGGAAAACCAAACACAGAAACAAAAGCACACACAAAAAAACTCCATACAAGCATGTCTGTTAATACTAACCATTTTAATTTAAATTAATACCATTTGAGGAAGACAAACGCAATTGATAGAAAATATAAAAACTTTTACTGTACAAATTTTACATCACATTCAAAAAAAGCAAAACGTGTGCCTCGTGGCCACAGAGGACGCTAGGTGTGCACACGCAGGTGACATCCTGGCCAATGCTGCAGCATGGCTGGAGCCTCCCTCGGCGTCACCCCCATGTTGCTACAGCACAACACCGGCCAGCAGGGCCTGCCACACCCTGCTGAGACCACATGAAGAAATGCCCGCTGGCAGAGGGGGTTTTGATCTGGTGACACGGAGAGGTCAACTCTGCTAATACACTGCTCACAATGAACCCAGGGCTAGCTGAGATTTATGCCTGCGCGTCACACAGCAGCCTGGGAGCTGCAGCCCTGGTGGTTAAAGGCCTTGGGGTGAGGTTGAGAGCTACAGGTACCTGCAAGGGCCAAAGCACGGACTATACTCTCAGAGCCCGGGTGGGACCTCTGCAGCCCCCAGCCTTCTCCCTCCCCTTCACAGTGGGCCGTGAGGGCTGAATTCACAGTATCTGTCATCCTTCATGTGTTTCCAAGGCAGACAGGCAGAGCACACAGAAGGGCAAACATATCTTCTAACCTCAATTCACAGTCACTGAAATAAAAACGGGACAAAGGGTACTGTGGGGGATCTTCTCAAATGCCAGCCAGGGCAGAAGTGGCCAGCTGAGAGCCAGGCTTTGGAGAGGACAGGGGAGGCCCTGAGTCTCAGCCCTATCCTCAGAGTCAAGTGGTTCTTGGTTGCTGGCCCAAAGCAAATCATCATTGCTTAAGGTGGAAATATTGCTGCTCCTGTATCTGGGGCCCCAGCACTTGCACAAGACCAAGTACACAGCAGGGGCTGGGGGGGCACTTCCTGTGGACTAAGGGGACACAGCCAAACCCAGACTCACTTTCCAGGGGCTGTGTGACACCCACTGTGGCCTGGATCTGAGGGTGGGGAGGCCAAGGTCAAGAGGGAGATGAAGGGCTGCCTCTGAGAAGGGGCAGGCACGTGACAGATACAGAGCCAACGGCTCTGGGGTGGGGAGGTCCCTCTGGGGAGTGATGTGGGAGAGCGAAGGGACCACGGGGGTAAAATGACAGTCGTGTCGCAGAGCGGAAGTCACCCACACAGAGCCGAACCCAAATAGTTTACAGCTCCTATGGCTTCTCCCGACGCTGACTGAAAGACTTCGAAGGCCCTGACCCAAGGGTTGGCTGTGCTCACCGAGGTATGCGGGGAGGTGGGAAGCAAGGCTGCTCGGCCTGCAGAGCAGAGAGGCAGCTCCACCTCTTCTCGCCAGAGTGGCTCATTTCGTGTGACTTGTGGACCGGAACCTGAGGCTAGGGAAGGCTCTGAAGACTGGGCATTGCCAAGTGGATCTCACTGAAGGGAGGGAGCCACATGGCCACCCCCATCTGAGCTCACAGCAGGGCCTGGGTCCAACCATGTCCACCTCCTTTCTGGCTGTGGTGGCTCCTGCAGCCTAACCTTCACCAGCGGCCTTCTGTGCCACTGGGAACTTTTCTCTGCAGCTGACGGTCACTGGCTAGGCCAGATGGACACCTTCACATCAAAGACTCTCCGAATCCAACCCCTCCTACTCGTCTGACACAAGCAGAAGGCCTGGCACTGCTGCGAGGGGCTCTGCAGACCAGGCTTGGGCGGCAGGGCGACAAGGGGGACAGTCTCATGCTCCCAGTTTAGCTTAGAGCCTGGATTAAGGAATCAGGAAGGGGAAAAGGGTGTCCACTAGGGCAAGGAAGTGGAAGAAGTGGGCAGTTCCAGAATGGTCTACCGTGGCTGCAAACAGGTTTCTGAAGTGCCAGGGTCACCCTGTGGCCAGGAGAGGGATCAGATACTTGCTGTCTACTTCTCCCTCTCTCTCTCTCTACCATTTTCCCTATTCTCACTCTTGAAGACCTCCTGTGCCCTCAGCTGTATGGTCAGATGTCAGGCAAAGGCCCTGACCCCCGGGCTTCATACAAGAAACCCTAGCTCAAGGATGTCTTCTCACCAGGCCATAGAAACTCTGGCTAGGAACCGCTAGATCTGCCCAGATAGCCCTCGGATTCTATCTTTACTTTTCCAGTGAGAATAGTCTGGATTCGAGGGGTTGGAAGGTGGAGCCTAGGTCTCCATGACTTCTTGTGCCCTGTAATTTACCTCAGTTCCTAGGCAGGGTCTTTTCTCTGCAAGACAGGGAAGGGACAGTGTACCACCAACGGGGGTTAGGGCCAAAGCAGAGGCCCAGCAAGCCTTGTGCTCCCACCTCTTCCCACCCTACCCTTAAACCAGCCATACCACAACATCTTTCTTTCTTCTGACCAAGCACTGGGCTTCTCAGTGCTGTAAGATCTTCCACGGGGACAGCTGCATCTTCCATCCCCAGGTACAGCACCCTCAGGCATGGACCGTATTATTACCTATGTAAAACACCAAGTTCACTGGGCAGAAACATACGTGTAAACATTTGCTGTCGGTTGGGACCAGTCTGGTTGTCACTGGGGTCTTACTAAGACGGCAGGTGCAGCTCCATCTCCAGGGATCCACGTGTCTTTGCGACGAACAGTCAGAATGGAGGACTCACCCCCCTGGCTTGCAGCGTTAGGTGGAGTGGCTTTTCATTTTTCTTGTTGCTGTGATGGTTGTTTGTGTTTTAAAAACACATTTTAAAAAGAGACAGGCAGCAGAACAACTGCACGGCTGGCTACATCTTTGGGTTACTGGACTCCAGGGCACCAAGGCCGAACCTCTCAAAGCGGGGTACAACTTTGCTGCTGTTAATGCTGCAAAAAGGAACAAAATCTGGGGTTATGGCTCTATTGGTCTTGACCAGAGTCAAGGGGACCTGGCCCACACCAAGAAGTGACAATGATTGCTCAGCCCACAGCCCTGGCAGAGTCCTCGGTCTTGGCCACACTCTCCACTCCTGGAGGACGGCGAGGCGGCTCATTCATCTGACTCCTAGGTCCTAGGGTGCACCGCTAACTGCTGTGAGTTCAAGGGGACCATTTCTATACTGGCAGCCTTGGGATGTCCTTGTTCTGTGCAGTACTAGGGGGAAGAGGAACCTGAGCCCCAACACCCAAAGGTGTATGCTCCTTATAGAAATGGTGCTCAGCTGGACCTGCTGGTGCACACCTGTAATTCCAGCTGCTCAGGATGCTGAGGACCACAAACCTGAGGCCAGCCTGAGAAAGTTAGTGAGGCTGTGTCTCAAAGTAAAAAAAAGGTGTGGGGGGGCTGGGAAAGTAAAAAACCAAGAGGGCTGGGGATGGAGCTCAGTAGTAAAGCTCCCCTGGGTTCAATCCCCAGTACCTCCGAAAGAAAAAGAAGTGCTCAAGCACTGGGTCCATGAGGAGGCTCTCTGGGATGGGCCGAGATCTGGGGTCAGTAAAATTGGAGGGAGGACGAAGATATGTACTCAGCGGCACGATGACCCGTGAGCTCACAAATGCTGAATACTGACCTGACTGTCCACAGAGCCAGGGTGGGTGGGAAGGGAGTGACATGGCAGGGGTGGGGTGGGGCAGCAGCTGTGCTTCCATTATTGAAGCTTGGGGATAGGCACCTCTTTGAACGAGGTCGACTTTTCTGTGCCACTGAAGACACAGCCCTTCTCAGCTAGTGTCTTTCACAGCAACAGGACCTTTTGTGTCTACCACCAGAGGCAGGAACCTAGAGAAGGCTCTGGGACCATGCTGCTGGCCTCAAGGCAGCTCAGCAACCATTCCACTCCCTGCAGGACAAGGTCTCCAGGGGTTAGAGGGGTTAGGAGCCAAGCACCCCTCCCCTGTTCTCAGAACACGATCAGCAAGAAGCCTATTAAGGTGTTAGTGTAGACAGGGCCAGCCCATCCCTCGGAAGAGCCAGAGAGAAAGAAGAGTCACGTCCACGAAGGCGCTGGAAGTTGTGCAGCACTGCAGAGGAGCCTGGCTGGCGCGACCCTCTGCCGTCAGAAGTGACTGGGGCACATGCAGGCCACATGTAGAGGGGAGGAGGCTGCTTTTTAAAACAGCACAAGAAGTCTGGAGAGAGACAGTGAAGCAGCAGAGACGGCATCCCCTGGGTTAGTGCCCACTTGGCATTTTGCATTTTAGTAGAAGTCACAGAGCCGAGTGGTCAGTTGGGAGGCAGAAAGTTCCTGGGGCATGCAAAGCAGCCAGGCTACAACCTACAAGGGACAGAGAAGAGGCAAGAGAGGCATCAGAAGCCGAGCCCATAGGGTACCCAAGCCCCAGAGGCCTGGCCAGAACTGCCAGACAGGGGAAGCACTCAACGTCACCCCTGCCAGGGTGGCACCCAGGCAAGCCTGGGAGGAGTCTGCGAGCAAGAAGCCTTCTTCAAGGTCCTGCAGGGCACAGTCACAGGCTTCCACACAGGCTGGCTGACGGCCCCAGCTCCTCAGCTCCTGACTGTCAATACTGACTTCTTGGAGTTGACCACCTCAGCTCACTGGATTCTCTTTTGAGCTCTGGCCAGAGCGGGGACCCTGGGCACACAACAAGCCACCTGTGCACTCATGGTGTGGACAGAGGCCCCGCCATATGCTGTGGGTCTCTCCCTCTACTGAGAGAAACACAGGCCCACGTGGCCCTTGCTGGTGGCACTCTGGCTGCAGGACATCACTCTGGAGTATGGGGATGGTTATGAGAAGCTGGGGTGCAGAAACACAACGGGAAGTGGAGGTGTAACAGGACAGCCACACACAGGCGGGGAAGAAGGGAAATGAGAGAAACACACTATTCTTCTAGAACCGGACAGGAGTTCTTAAAGTCGGGGTGGCCATCACGTCCTTTCCCATAGTAGCGGCTCCGCCAGCGACTGCAAGTGCCCCGGGACCATTCCAACAGGGGCAGGAAGAGTGCCGTCCAGCCATCAGCCAGCCGGGCAGTGGACAGGTACAGGAGTCAGGATGGTGGGATGGGGGAGACACACGTCCTTTCCCATAGTAGCGGCTCCGCCAGCGACTGCAAGCAGGAAGAGTGCCGTCCAGCCATCAGCCAGCCGGGCAGTGGACAGGTACAGGAGTCGGGGTGGTGGGATGGGGGAGACGACGGGGCAGGCCAGCAAGTCCGCCACCCGCCCCCAAAGTAAAAAAAGCAACAAAGCCAGTGGGAAAGAACAGAGAGAATGAGAATTTAGAGGCTGAGGGTGCAGAAAGTAGAAATTATCAACAAAGGCTTGGACACAGACTCATTCAGATCTGCTGCATTTTCCCTTTACAGGGCTTAAACTGATGGCTGTGAACTGATGGCTCAGGCGGCAGGACCAAGTTGGAGCACCAGCATCCACACTGAGCACACCACCAATGCTAGGGGCCCGGAGTTAGAACTTGAGTTCTCTCTTAGTCTGCAAAGTCTAAAATAATTATCAGGTCCTTTTCTGCTGAAGTGTGTGCATCCTGGGTATTATCTAGCCCTACTTTTTGAAGGTGTGGGAAGTAAGGCCCTAATAAAGCTCCGAATCCTCATAAAAGGTCATGGCAGGACAAAGGTCTTTTTAAGTATTCCGGAATAGGTGGCTAGAGGGACAAAGAAGAAAGAGAACAAGACAGCGCAGGAAAGATGACAATGGCTTCGGCTGGCCCATGGAGACCCCCACACACACCATGGGGGCAAAGGGTCCTGTGACGACGCGGAGGACAAGGGGATCTGGCATCTATGCCAGAATAAAGACAGTGATGCAGCCTCACAGCCAGTGGCTAGCTTCTTGGGCTCGTGTCTGAGTCAGTGCCATTTTAAATAACACTGGCTCTGCCTACTACAGGGGCTTCTCAGTATCCATGTGGATCTGCCCTCCACCCGCCCATCATGCCTCTCCCAGGATGAAACCTTCTCACCCTGGCCTCGCATAGGTCTGGCATCAGCACTGGTCTAAGAGCGACACGCAGCCTTTCATAGATGTCAACCAAAGGTGCTCATCTGTCTCCAAAATAAACCCAGTTAAGTGAAACCCTGGCTTCTCTCTGGCTAATCTGCCCTACATGCTCCCCAGGTGCAGCAGAGGGTGCCCCCCAAGATCCCAGGTGGGCACCTCACTGAGGAGGTACTCACTCAGCTGACTTCCAGAAGTGTCCAGGGTGCGAGAGCCGCCGGTTCAGCTTGGGCAGCTTCTCCAGCATGTCCATCAGCAGGCTGAAGCTGGGTCTCTCCTGCAGACTGAAAGCCCAGCAGGCAGACAGGATCTCCTGCAAATGGGACTGCCATTAGTGCTGTGTGTGTGTGCTGGCCTGGAGGGAGGAGGGCATGGCCGGGGCACCCACAAAGCATCCCAGCAGTGCTCTCAAATGCCCTGGCTGGTGGCCCCCTGGAGACACTGCCAACAACACGAAGGAGCTTCACAGCAACTGTAAGAAAAGGGGGAGGGGTGGAGAGGAAGAAAAGACCAGACTACCAGAGACACAAGAAGCTGTCCGCTCACGTATTTTCTGTCTCCACTTCCTCACTCCCTGGCCTCAATTTATTCTTACAAGACTTGACTTCCACACTCTTCTTTACAAGAAATCCTTCCAACTAGTTCAGGTATCTTCAGAGGGCTTATTTAAAACGATGTCATATTTAATCTACTTCGCTCCACAGTGGGACCTGTCACCAGGTTGAGGTACAAAATATTCCTGCATGCTCGATCCTCCACTAATGACACCAGAAGACTCATCTGCAGCTTCAATCCTTCATGGAGAGAAATCTTCCCAATTAGTTCTGGACTCTGGCTATGTTCCAAAATTATCTGAGGAGCTTTATTTAAAAATAAAACACCTAGGGCCGGGGGTTTGGCTCAGTGATTCCACCGCCTGCCTCGCAAGCACAAGGTCCTGAGTTCAATCCCTGGTACCAAAACCAAAATAAAACATATATACATACTCTTTTATACAAAGAAGTCCTTACTAATGCTACTGTAAAGGTAAAAATTGGAAGTGAACTAAATATCCAGTGACATAAGGACTTATATTATGGTACAGCCACAGGACAGAAGGGCAGACAATAAAGATTTATTAGAAACGTGAGATAATAAAGTGCCATGTGGAAAAAAGTTATGACACAAAAATAACCTACATGTTATCATTGTGATTTTCTTCAAGATACATATTTTTTTAAGACTAGAGGCCAAACCAGGCATTGTGGTACATGCCTGTCACGCCAGCCCTCTGGAGGCGGAGGCAGAGGCAGGAGAAGCGGCCAGTCTTGGGTTACACAGTGAGTTCAAAGTCAGCATGGACTACATAATGAGACACCGTCTCAAATCAAACAAACAGACAAGGGAAGGTAGTCAGGCGTGGCGGCACAGGCCTGTATCGGCACTCTGATAGGCTGAAACAGGAGAACTGCAAGTCTGAGCACAGCCTAGGCAACTTGGCAAGACCTCGTCTCAAAATAAAATTTATTTTTAAAATTTTATTTATGTATTTATTTATTTATTATGTACCGGGGATTGTGCTGGAGACCAAGACCTATGTGTGCCTCCACCCTCTGTGTGTGCCCCTGATAGGAACTTTACACCCTCCCGGGGACATCCTAACCCCTCCCAGCGACATTCTGGCCATGCCCTACCTTATCTAGCTAGACCAGCCTAGGTTAGGTAACCTAACAACCGGGAAAGTCCCTGCTCACCCCTGCCTGCATAAAAGCTGCTGTGTGAGAAGTAAAATTTGTCAAATTTGACCACTAAAAGAGCTCTGTTTGGTTCTTGTCTTCCTGCGTCGTTCCTGTTCCCGATCCGGGTGCTCCCCTTCTCGAGCCCTACTAATAACGAACCCCGTGGGCCGGGGCAGGATTGAACTCGGGTCCTTGCATTTGCAAGGCAGGCCACCAAACCGCTGAGCTACATCCCCAGCCCCAAAATAAAATTTAAAAAAGGGGGCTGGGGATGTAGCTCAGAACGAAAGCTCTGGGTTTAATTCACAGTACTGAAAAGGAAAAAAAAAAAAAAAGAAAGAAAGAAAGAAAGAAAGAAAGAAAGAAAAGAAAGAAAGAAAGAAAGAAAGAAAGAAAGAAAGAAAGAAAAAAAAAAAGAAAGAAAGAAAGAAAGAAAGAAAGAAAGAAAGAAAGAAAGAAAAAGACTGGAAGGCAATAGCTGCTTGTCCCAGCATTTCCCTCCTAAGGTGCCAAGAACACATCCTGGGCAAGGTGGTGCCGGCTGATGCTGGCTGAGAGGCAGGCCCCAGAGCATCAGGGAAGCGCTCGTCCCTCCACCCACCCGACATCCCAGCTGCAGCTGTACCGACTGGCCAGAAAGTCTGGTGTCAGAGCTGCAGATTAGCCTTTTGACATCACTCTTGGAAAATATTTTGCACTTCGACCTAATGACATATACTCCTGTGGAATACAGTAGGTCAGATACAACGTCACGTTAAACGAGCCCTCTCAAGACACCTCAGTGGCCTGCTACTGGTCAATAAAGATCTCTGAGGAAGGACAGCCTATTCAGACCTAACGCTGGGAAGGGCCAGGCGCTGCCCCCGGAAGAGCTTCACTGGGAGCGGTGCAGTACCTGTGGCAGTTGCTCTGTCCAACACAGAGGCCCCAGTCGCCACCCATTATACTGAAAATGCTCAGTCCAGGGTTTCTCGGCATGAGACTGTGCCGTGACATGGAAACTACCCATGCAGAGAAACCATTCAAGGAAAACTGTCCGGAAACGAGAACGCAGGGGCTGCAATTAAGATTCAGCACTATGAAACGAGTCTGTTGTGGGAATTTTGATTTGTTGTTGAATAGCCATAAAAAACATGAAGAAGAGACTTGATACCACAGCATAACCTCACTATATGTATTTTGTTTTGGGGGCTTTGTTTTATTTTTTTTAGTACCAGGGATTGAACGTGGGTACTTGCGCTTGCAAGGTAGGCAGTGGAACCACTGAGCTAAATCCCCAGCCCACTATTTGTATTTTGATCAGTGATTGTTTTTATTTTCATTCTTGTCAGTAGTATATAAGGCTTGATTTTCTTTTCATCTCATAAGTCAATTAAAATGATCTTAAGGAAATCAAGACAGAAGTTGACAATGGCATGATACCGATGCTTTTTATTTTCTTCTCTCTGCTTCCCTGCTTCCCCCCATTTTTAGTAAACTTCAAACATTTTTAGTAAATTTCAAATATGACACCACCCGGTGACGAAGCCAGGCAGGAAGACAAAGGGCAGCCGGGCCACTCAGCCTACCCCTCAAAGTCCCACTTCCCCCCAAGAGCAGGTGCTACTCACGCTGACTTCCTTCCCCAGGCTGACGGAGCCCAGGACCCGCTTCATTCCTTCTCCGCTTCCAATCTGCCAGATCAAGGCCTCTGCAGGCTGGTGCTTAAAGGGCCAGTCTCTTGCTTGTAGCTCATACCACACAGTCCTGTGGAGACCCACTGACGGCATGAGCTCCTGAGCTGCTTGGCCTAGTCCATGCCCAGAAGTCCACCCCAGCCTTCCTTCCCTCCAGCCTTGAGGGGATGCTATGACAGCACCTGAGAGACCCCTCCTGGGCCTCTAGGGACCTGGGCCCTGTGCCCCTGCTCCCATACAGCACAGGCCTGGATAGAACCCTGACCTTGCTCTGACCCAAGCTTAACCCCAGCTCTGCCACTTCCTAGCTGCAAGCAAGGTCCTGGTATAACTGCTCAATCTCAGTAGGCTGATGTCTGTCATGAGGTTGCTGGAGGAATAACAAAAATGTCAAGCCCAGCGCAGGGCACGCATTGTGCTTTGGCAGTGACACAGTTAAAGGCCAGGGAGGAAGAGATAGCACTCAGGCCGCAGCACAGAGAGCATAGAGTAACTGGGAGTGAGCCGTCCTCAGCTGCTCCAAATCCCCTTAGCTTTCTCAATTTACTAGGACAGGGACATTCTAATTAGACTTGCACTAGCCAGTGGAGGGGCCACTTCTTACATGAGGCTACTGAGCCGCTAAAGTGTGGACTGCAGCATGCTGCACATAGAAAATTCACACTAGATTGTGAAGACTTGGTAATAAGGAAGTGAATATAAACTGTCTCTAAGATTTTTATTCATTGCATACTGAAATCATACTTTAGATGTGCTGAGTTAAAATAGACTGTTGAGACTATTTCACTTGTTTATTTTTTTTAACTGAAAGGATATATATATATCTGGTTTGCACTGTATTTCTCTTGGTCAGCACCCCAGCGCTGCATGGGCACTGGAGGCCAGTTGGCAGGACGCCCAAGCATCCCAGGGCGAGAGGAGCAATCGCTGGTTGGCTCTGGCAAGTGTCCCAGCAGATCAGTGGGTAAAACTGACAACTAGCACTTAAACCATGACTTAATTTAGTCCTCGTGAAACAACTGTCTTGGAAGTATAATTATCCGAGTCGGGAGGCAGGTCCGTCAGCCAACAAGCAGCAGAGCTATGACTCAAGACCGGGTTTGCTACCACTCCAAAGACCAGGCTCTAAGCAGCTCGGCGGACACCTCCCCTGCCTCCAGTGGCCGCCAGGGCCCTCTCTTTCGGCCACACTTGGGCTCCAAGCACCAGGAGTCTGCTTACCCAAATGCATAGACGTCCGCAGCTTTGGAGAAGGGAAGCTGGTCCTCATCCTTCCCAGGGGTCATCTCGCGCACGATCTCAGGGGCCAGGTAGCACAGCCAGTCATGGGACAGCTTCAGCTGGTTCTCACGCCTGGAGGCCGGAATAAGAGCACAGCCCCTCAGCAGGCCTGCCTGGCACTCGGCTGCCCTCAGGCCAGGCAAACACCCACGCGGTGCAGGTATAGCACCTGAGTGCACACACTGATCCTGCCCTGGCTTCAGCTCTCACAGAAGACATCACTGTGCTCTTCCAGGGAAGCAGGCCAAGGGCAAGTACTGGGCCTGGGCTCATCTCTGTCCGGGAAACCAGGCCTATCTGCAATCTCACAACAGCCTGGAGACTCCCTGCCTGGCTGCCAATCTTCCCCTGGGGGCTCCCCAGACACTCAGGGAAGAGCCTTTCACTTCACCCCTTTAAGGATGGAGGAAATAAAAGCTGGATGTTTTTTCTCATCATGGCAATGGGACCTGGACCCTCACCCATTTCGCTGATCAGCCAGGTCAAAAGTGAGCTGGGGACTCAAATACCACGAGGGGCTGAAATATCACCCAGGCAAGATTCTGACCAGAACTATAGGGGCCAGCCTGTAGTTGCCTGGCCCTCTCTACAACTCCCTACAGGGAGGTCTGCTTCTCGGCAGCATGGCCAGAGTACCTGGACCCCGAGCAAGCCCACCCAGGACCCTGCTCCTCCTGTCCCACCCAGACACCCAGGGCCAACTCACCTCTCCTCTCGGACCACACCCGAGATCCCAAATAGCCCGAAGTCTGTGATGACCACTTTGCCATTGTCGTAAAAGACATTCTTCGATTTGAGATCTTTGTGCACAATGCCCTTGGCATGCAGGTAGCCCATGCCCTGGAAAACAGCGAGGCTCACATCAGCAGGAAGAGAAGATGAGGGGTGATGCTGAGTTTCAATCCTGTGACAGGTTCTGCACTAGAAGCTTCCCCAAGTCCCCTCATTTAATCCTCACAATCCCATGCTGCATATTGTCCCCATCTGACAGATGAGGAAACGGAGGCTCAGAAAGGCCAAGGTACACAGCAGTTAACCAGCAGAGCTCAGATCTGACTCAGCCAGTCCGTGCTCTTTCCACACCACCAGGCTGCCCAATACTCATCTTAGATCTGGCTAGGGTGTGAGGTATAGACAAGTGCTCGCTAGGAACCTGGAGAGGTCAAAGAATGTAGAAAAATGATACTGGCTGTGAGGGAAGCTCAGTGGCAGAGCCCCTGCCCAGCATGCACAAGGTCGTGAGGTCCCTTCCCAGCAATTCAAAGGAAAACAGTCAACAACACCACCCGCGTCAGGTCACAAGGGTCCGAACAACTCAGGGTGTCCATCAGGATTTGCACAGCTGATCTCTGCTCTCAGGTAACATAAAGGTCAGGTGGGGAACTAGAGATTCCCACAAAAGGGTCTCCACATGTGGCCACTGCCAATGTCCATCCGGGGTTCAAGCTCCACCTCAACTCAGACCCTAACTCATTAAGAGGCCTCAGGCAGTGTTCACTTCTCTGTGGCTCAGCCTCCTCATCTATCCACGCAAGGGCAGTGGGGGGTGACTTCTCACGAGCGGCTCTAGAATGGACACCGATGGGCTGGGTGCATGGACACAGGTGACTCCACACAGTATAATCTCATCCAAGGTCAGAGCTGTCTTCAAACTCCACACCCACGGCTACCAGGTACTCTGACACCCTTAGGGACAGGGGAAGACGCCATGGCTGAATGGCATCCCTGGCAGCTTAGAAAGAAGCAGCAATGAAACTACCCTCCACCCTGCAGGCACATCACACCTTCTGCAGAGATGTCCCTGGCTAAAAGGTGTCATAGGGAGGGGGGTGGGGATAACTAGTGAAAAACACACTGCATTTAGGAAACAGAGTCAGCCACAAGCTACAACCGCAGAACTCAGCCCCCAGTAAGAGCTCTGTCCCAAGAGTCAAGAGCACTGGAGATCCATTTAAACGAAGCAGATTCTCCTCTGAAAGGGACAAGAAGGTGTGAGGCTACTGGGGCCACTTCCCTTGGGCCTGTGGAGAGTTGTCTCCTTATGACAGGGTCAGGGGGCTCCAAGAATGCTCATTCCCCAGACTCTGTCTTGATTGCAAGGTGGTCCTTCCGGAAATATCTGCCCATTTCCCAAACCAAACCAAGGCATGAGCCTTCCCCGGTAGCCAGACAGAGCCAGACTCTCAGTGGGCTGAGTAGGGACCAGCTCTGGAAGGAACTGGACAAGTCCCTGTACTGCTCTCAACCTTATTTGTAAAACAGGTGTCACAGCCTGAAAGGACAAGCATAAAGGGACAGGATGAAGGGCTGGGTCTGGACACTGATGTTCCTTTTCCCGAATTCTACAGCCATCTCTATACTGGTCTAAAAGTTGTAAACCCTCTAACCAAAGGCCCAGTCTGTTTTATCTCTTTGGGCCAAAGCATCACAGATAACTCCATAAAGGAAGTGGCTCAAGGGCCCCAGCAGAAGGAGAGAGGAGGGTTTCTCAGCAGGATGGAAGAAGCCAGCAGAAAAGCAGCTTCCGGCTCTGCAGCTCTAAAACTTTTTAGCGACTTATCTGCTGGGTCGGGAATCATCCTAGGGCTCCTCATCATGACTCAGCAGCAGCACCCAGACATGCACTCCCCAGGGAGCAGAGACAGAGAGGAGCTTGAGGGAGGGGAGCAGACTTAGCAGGGCTGCGGGGGTGGGGGTGGGGGAGAACAGACACTGCAGGTCCCACCGGCCCCTCTGAAAGAAGATGGACCACAGTGAAGGCAGAGATGGCATCTTTGGGCTTCAGTTTTCCGAAGTTTAACACGTGAGCTTAGTGCAGAAATGGCAAGTGGAAATCTTGGTTTATCCACAAATGTCATTATATTTTCATCTTTTCTAAAGACATACAAAGAGACACCAGAAGAAAAAAGGGAAGGGAGGAGAGAACGGAAAGGAAGGGGAGGAGGCAGGAGAGGATGCAGGCAGGAGAAAAGGGAGGAAAGAAAGACGGGAAAAACGTGGTGGAGCTGGTAAAATTATCAACATAATTTTTTAAAGAAAGAAAAGAACGTCTCTTCACCTGTATTTCAGTTTTTATTTGGGTCTGTTTACTGCTACATAAGCAACAAATGAGCTCTTTCTTCACTTTTATTTAATTACTTTTTTAAGATAATGCAAGAAATGAAGGGGGCTTTTCATTCGGGTGCCAGGGCCTGCCCTTGGGAAAGTGGCCTTGCAAACTTCAAGAGAGAAAGCCTGGGTCCTTCTGGTTCTTGGAAGTTAAATACCACTCCTCCTTCCCGTGGCGCATCCTAACAGAGCTCACTGGGGGCTGGGGGCTGGGCCACATGCTATGCATGGATGACTGCACTTTATCTTTGCATGGATCCAGTGAGGAATCCCCATTTTACAGGGAGAAAACCAAGGCCCAGAGAAGCTAAGGAACCTGCCCGAGGCCACACGGCTGATGTGACCAGCAGTCAAACTGCTTTCAGAACCAGCTGAGCTCCTCCCCATCTAATTCAACTCTACCGACGCTGACCAAGTAAATGGCTCCAGCTCTGAGGAGGTGACACAGGAACAGAGGCACGGAAGAGCCCCGGCTGGGAGAGGCGCCGCAGGGAGCCGCACCCCGCCCTGATGTTGGATGCAGCAGGAGGAAGGATGAGAGCTCCGGGAGCAGCGCTCCAGCTGCTGGCTGCCCTTTACCTTGATGATCTCCTGAGCGATCTGCCTTGTCTTGTTGATGTCCAGCGATGTCTTGGGGTCCCTCACGAACGAGTGCAACGTCCGCCCCTTGCAGAAGCTGTTGAGGATGTGGGCTCAGTCAAGTTGGGGACTGGCAGGGTCATGGGGACCAGGAGTCCATCCACTCCCACAGAGCCCCCCAAAGCATGTCTGTCCTTAACCAAATCTGCCGCCCATTCCCGCTAGGGCCTGGCCTGTGAGGGCCCCACCTAAGGCTCATCGGGTCTGCCCTACACAAGGAAACCCAGTTCAACCAGCCTGCTTGCAACTCTGGGTGGCCCAGTGGCAGGGGGGTCAGGCAGGATCAGGAGCAGTGAAACTCAAGACAGCCAAGAACGCAGCCTTTAATGCTACTGCCAGACAACATCAAGGCTCTGGTGCTCACTATACAGTCTCGTTACTGCTTTTTTTTAAATAAAGCCATTCGTAAAGAAGGCCAAGGCACTGGGGTGGCTGTCAGGGGATCACAGTGGTTATGGGAAAGGGAGCTTGTGTTCTGGGGCCTCCTCTTATATCAGAAGAAGGACTCAGGCAAGGTGTATGTGGTTCCCTTTCCTGTTTGGGGAAAGCTGGCTCATGCCATCTTAGGGAAGGACTAGTCTTTAGGAAAAGTCTCCTGGAAGTAAGGTCCAGGGCGTCTCAGAGACTTTGAGAACCAAGAGGCAAGGGCTTTGGAACACTGGCCGATAGTCTCCCAATCTGTGTCCCATTTTCCTCAGCATATTTCGGAAAGACACTGTTTTCTTGTTAGTGAACCTTCTGCTGTTTCATTATGTGCATACCCACTCTGACTCCCATCTCTGAAGAGATAGGGTGCATAGAGGAGAGGAGGAAGGATGGGTGGATGGAGGACAGCAGCAGGGGCTACGCACTAGGGTCGGGGGCTGGGGGGCCACACTCAGGCTCCCTGGGCATCTGCTTGTCTCGCTTTGGGCTGCAATTTTATTCCCCTGGTAAGGAGACTGTGGTTATCTCATACTGCCCAGGAGTTCTGGGGATGATTACTTACATCACTTTAAACAAGCAAAATGGAAATTAATTTCTACTTCCTTCATTGCTTTGAAAAGAAAAAAACATTTTCCTAAAGTATAGGATACAGGTATGGAGAAGACCATCTCCAGGCTAATGAGGATTCTTAGTTTGATGAGATTAAAGTGATTTTTAGATTCTTCTTGAAATGCCTGTTTCAGAATTTCTCTAATGACCTCATATTGCATTTCCTAACTTCAAAAGTAAACAGTGATATAATAAATGCCACGGGAAAAACTGTTCCAGTGTCACAGCTCTGAGGAAGAGACGTGTGGGATGGAAGTGGAACAGTGAGGACTTTCCAGAGCAGAAATGGACTGCAGACATCAAAACACCACTGGCTGGGGATGTGGCTCAGTGATAAAGCCCTCAGCGCGTATGTGCAGGGACCTAGCTTTGACCCTCAGCACCAACACACACACACACACACACACACACACACACACAAAGAAGAGAACGAGCCCAGCTCTACCGTCAAGTGAGAAAAGCAAGGGGTGAACCAGTAGGGTCTTTCCCATGTTTTCATAAAGGAATACTTTAAAAATCTCTAAGCACATGCAAAGTCTTTATTTTAATGCAGGGAATGAAGTTCTTTACCATATTCACCTCTGGGGACAAGGCCCCGCCTGGGGTGGCAGAAGACTTGGCTTTTGCTTTGTGCCTTTTATGGAAAGAAGAATCCTTAGAGGGCATCATTTTCTCTCTTTTTAATGGCAGAGGGGTTATGTAAGCAGGAAGTGCCACCCCATTTTTGTTTTCTTCTTTGTACCACTTTCTGTGAAAACTCGCACACCCTTCAGGGCTGCTCACCTGGTGATGATGGCCAGGTGGGGAGGATTCATGCAGGCGCCCATGAACAGCACCACGTTCTCGTGCCGTGTCTGCCTGTAGTTCATCACCTCCTTCTTGAACAGCTTCAGGTGGTCCTGGTTGTGGCCGTCCATCTCCAGCAGGCGAATGGCCACCTCGCCGTGCCAGCGGCCACGGTGCACCCGGCCCCAGCGGCCCTGCCCGATGAGCTCTCCCAGCTCCACCTGCTCGAAGGGGATGTCCCACTCTTGCAGGTACACACTGGTCTGGCTGGCCTTGCGGGAGATGGGGCCCCGCCAGGGCCGGCGGGAGCTTGGTAAGTCGTCCACCTCATCCTCGTCATCTTCTGCCTCGGACTTGCCAGCCTCTGGCTCCTCGGCCTGGAAGGAGGGGAGACCAAATAGAGAACGGTGGTGGCAGGTCAGGGTCCTCTCTTCCCTTCTGAAAGCCCTAGCCAGGTGAGGGAGGAAAGGCCTGGATCTGAGAGCTGATTCTAGAAACAGCTCTGCACTGGCTTTTTTATTTTGCTATGGACAGTGGGGAGGTCACTTGGCATCCACAAAATATAGTCACTGGCCCAGGTTATCCCACAGTCCTCCATCCTGCTAATGCTCCAAGATCTACCCAGGAGCAACACCTAATCATTCAAGAAACAGCACTGATACCCCAGCAATGGAGGAACTCACTCTTCTGGTACTCCCTTTTTAAAGCAGTTTCTGACTCTCTTCTGTAAGCTACACTGCACGGCAGGGATCCAGGCTCAGTTTACGCTTTTGATCAAAAGTCTAGACATTGGTTCTTGACCCTGGCTTTGAGCAGAATCACCCGGTGAGTTCTGTCAACACGGAGACGTCTGACCCCATCCTAGACTGAAGTTAGTCTGACCAGAGTGAAGACAGAACTGTGACCTTACTTCAGGTAGCCCCAGAAACAGAAGCAAAGGAGGCAGTGTCTCTGCTTTCTCCCCACCCTGTGCCTGTCCCACACCGTGCAGCAGGCCCCGGGAAGACCCTTTCTGTGCCGCAGAAGCCCCACATTCTGGGGAGGGCAGGAAACACCAACGGCCTTCTGTGGCTTCAGCTGTGCCACCCTCACGCACCTCCACCTTGTGAGCCTCCAACACCTCGGCTTTCGGCTGGTCATCAGGCCTAAGAGTAAAACAGGCTTTGTCAGGGGGACCCTGGGCCTGCCAGGGGCTCCCCAGGGGCAGGCCTGACGCAAAGGCTCTCTATATGGACTATATGGTGACCCACCTGTGGTAGAGACAGGCTGGATGCTGGGGACCAGGCCCACCCTTCCGGGGCCTCAGCCTTCTCCCCGGGCTGAACTGATGGTGGCTGGAGACAAGGGGAGGGCGGTAACCACCAAGGACCCTTTCAAACGTGACACTGTAGTCCAGGAGTTCAGAGCACACACAGGCCCGAGGATCCAGCAGGCTTACCTCTGAGGACCGACCCTGCTACTTGCTCACTCTGTGACCGACCTTGTATAACTCAGTCTGTCTGGGCTGGCTGTACATTAGGGTTCCTCTGTGGACTACACAAGGAAGCCCGAGTCGAGGGCTCAGCCCATCTTTGGAAGAAGGGCTCCCTAAGTGGGACCCATTTTTCATAGGCCTTACTCCGAATGCCACTGTCCACCTTCCCGGGCCACCAGCCTGCTCCAGTTTGCACGAAGCCCACACACGCTCACTGTGTTGATGCAAATAAACCCTTCCAGGGGGAGTTATCTGGTACAGACAGCAATCAGCCCCAGCCAGCCTCCATCCGGCTGTGCCCGGCCTGGCAACACCCACAGCGGGAAGGTCAGAGATTTAAGAGTCCAGGTGGGAGGCAGCCAGGGCCTGAGTTCAATCTCAACAGGTCTCCAGGCAGAGAAGGAACTCTTACCAGGTACTGTCGGTGGCATCAGGGAGCGGGGCTGCCTGTGGAAAGGCCGAAATGTCTGCAGGAAACAAAGCATCAACACAGAGTGTGAGGCCACTTTTCCCAGGCCCAAGACCCCACACCTGCCTAACAGGAGGAAGTTGCTCCTCTCGGAGCAGCTGCACCTCTTCTCCAGGCCACTCCCACAGGGGCCCACTTGTGCTGAATCCTCAAAGCTGACATGGACTCAGCCTCCATAGCTCTTCTGTTCACACTGCTCTGTCCCAGGAAGGCTCAGCTGGGTAAGAAGCGGGGGCTCCTCAGTTAACACCACTTCCGGGTACCCAAAGGGACTCACACAGCAAGCAGCAAAAGCCAGCAGGGCAACACTGGAGGGGAGGGGAGCCAGAGCCACTCTGTGGAAGGTCTTCCTGGTTGGTGGCAGGACTGGCTGTCATAACTCTGGAAAGTAGGGACACTGGACAGCAGCAGAACCTGAAGGCTCCTTAGCGACACCTGGTGCAGCTGCTGGGAATTTCCAGAACACCCTCCTCTGGAACACCTTGCTGCCGCGATTGGGTTGTTCCAAGTTGAGCAGCTGAGATTGACCCCTGGGCCTCCTCCGGAACACCTTGCTGCCGCGATTGGGTTGTTCCAAGTTGAGCAGCTGAGATTGACCCCTGGGCCCGCGGCCGTGGCACTGTAAGCCTCCTGCCTGCCTAGTGACACCTGAATGGATGGTCAACCCAGTGCTATGAGGTCTGGATGCTACAAGACTGCTGGCCCCAGGGCTGGGCTTGCCTCTACACTCTCTAAAATGAGAGATAAGTAGTGGCAGCAGCCTGAGCAACAGCAGCCCCTCTCCTGCCTTCCCCACTCAGCTGTAAAGCCTTCCTTGCCCTTTCTCCAAAGCTTCCTCTAAAGGTCGTCAGAACCGCAAGTTAATATGCCTACTACTCCTTCACAGACTTGGACAGTCTGCTAGAATCTTATCATGGCGACGCACTTACGTGCCTGACATCTTGTGCAGTTTCAGAGGGCCCTGGACCTCACAAGCCTCTGCTGAGGCCTTCCCAGACACCGCCACATGTTGTCCAGATTGCCAGCGTTTCCACCCACCAGCACTTCCAAAATGTCTCCACAGAGGATAAACAGCCGGGGGTCAGGGAATGGGAGACAGGGGGGTAAGAGCCCTCCAGGTGGCTGAGCAGGGGTCCTTTGGGGACCCCATACTTTTCCTAAAAATTAAGAGCGTATTGTGATCCCGCTCGAACACACATCTGTGTCCCTTCTCCTCCCACGAGGTATCTTCAGGACAACATGGACCTTCCAGAGAACCATGTTTTCCCAGTCTGGGAGAGGGGCATGCCCCGTACATGTCCCAGAGCTGGTAAGCAAGGAGGTTCTGGGGGAGCCACAGCAAAACCTGACGTGAACCCTGACCGGTCCATGGGGCTCTGGAGGCAGAGCCCATGTCCTGACTGTTGCCAGTGGGCACAGGCCTGAACACAGCTTTGTGGACAGAGACTCACAGAGGCTCCAGGTCAGTCCCCTAATAGGCAGAGTTGAGGAAGAGAGAAACTTGGAATAACCAAAACACGGACTTCAAGATAATCTTGTTTAACCCAGAGGGGAAAGAAACAATAAAGTAGAGTTAAAGTCTAAAAAATTATGCTTGCCACCTTTGGCTAAAGGAAAAAAAAAAGAAATGTATAAATTCCTTCAAGGGACAGGAATATGGTCAAATGCAAAGTTGGCACAAAGACTGGTCAAATGGAAACAATTTTTGTAGAAAGGAATTAATGGGTATCTTACTGAATTGAGATTTTTCTATGAAACTTTCTACAATGATGGCCAGCAGGTGACGCTGTGAAATGACTCAGGCAAAGACTACAGACTCACAATTGGTTAACACAGTTTCCCATCCTTATGCAGGGGAGCAGGACATGGTGACAGATGCTCATGAAATATCAACAAAAAGCGCCCCCCCATTCTGCAAACCTGGGTTCTAGTCCTGCTTGTTTCTGCCACCTCCTGACAGTGGGACCTTGAACAAGTTGCTGGTGTTCTCTGCGCAAGAGGCAGTGCAGGACGGATTCTAGGGTCCCTCCCAGCACAGCACTGCCACTAAGGGGCCCACCTCCATGGACTCAGGCACTGGGGAAGAGGGCACCCGGTGGGCTGGATGGAGGGCTCACGGCAAGGGGCAGTTAGCGGGACATGCAAAGGACTCACCTGGGAAGATAAACTGCTGTCTATGATGAATGAAGTAGGCAGCTTTAAACAGAAGAGGAGGTGAGTCACACAAAGTGGCAAACGCAGTGAGGAGGATGCGTGGGCTGGGGAGGCAGGACCTGGTTACTGGGCTGGGCTGGCCCCACCCCACGCTCCTGGCCCCTGATGGGCCCAGCGAGAACGGGCTGAGCCATGCGGGAAGGAGGGAGGGAGCTGGAGCACACGGTGCTGGTGGGAGCCCCGAGAGTACAGGGGGCTGCACCGGAGGACCAGCTGCGCGCTGAGACCGCTCTGGGCAGCCACCTCGCTGCCAAGCTCTCACCAGCACCCTGCTCTAGAAAATGCACGGGAGCCCCGAGAACAAAATACAATGCGGATGGAAAACAGTGGTTCTGAAAACGTCTGTGTTTAGCCCACCCTGACCCTGGAGCCCCTCAACTGCCCTCACTGACCCTTCCTAAATACATACAAGCTCTCTCCTAAGAGACGTACTGGGGTTCTAGAATGTGACACAGAGGGATTTGTCTTGTGTTTTTGAGACCAATCTTGCTATTTTGCCACCCAGCCTGGCCTTGAACTCCTGTGCTCCACTGATCCTCTCACCTCAGCCTTCTGAGTAGCTGAAAGCGCTGTGCCTGAAGGGACACAGTGTTCTAACCTCAGCTTTACCTCTTGGTCTTGGGGACACTGGCTAACTTCTCCAGCTGCCACACTGCAGGACAGAGTACTACCTTTCCCAGATGTATCTTTTTTTGGGGGGTGAGGGTACCAGGGATTGAACTCGGGTCCTTGCGCTTGCAAGGCAGGCCACCAAACCGCTGAGCTAAATCCCCGGCCCTTCCCAGATGTATCTTGAGGGTCACGGGCAGGGCTCCAGAACAGCACAGAGCAGCTGAACAGCAGGAGGTCTCAGAGCTTTGCTCCCCAGCCCTGCCCCACCTGGCCAGGCCCGGGGTCGGCCCCAATATTCTGATAAGATCATGGACAGTGAGATCTCTGACAGGGGACAATGAGGGCCCAGTTCCCTTGTGAGATATCAGTGAAAGTGGACACGGTTTGGCTGATGTCACAAAAAAAAAAAAAGACTTTTTCTGTGGCTGTTGTTTCAAACAGGCCCTTTCTTTTAGAAAAACCCAAACTAAGTGGGTTAGCAAAAGGGACAATGAGGTTAATCACTGAGTCAGGAGGAAGGGTGGGGCATGTTTGGGACAAGGAGTTCAGGTCAGGAGAGATCCAGCCACGTGCATATTAAGGCAAAGGAACAAGCAAAAGAGAAATATTCTACAAAATCTCAATCTCTCCCTGTCCCCAAAAGAAATTGCTGGGACCCTGAAGATCTGAGCCCTGAGAGGCAGCCTGGCCTGCTGCTGGCTGTGTGTGGCTCCAAGCAGGTGGCCTGGCACAGGGCACAGGAGAGAACTCTGGCCCTCAGGCCTGGAGCTTCAGTGGCCAGTGACAGGGCCTCGCCTGTCCCCACGGACAAGAGAGAACAGAGGGCCTGGGTCCCAGCACCCCTTCTTTGCCTGGGATTGCAAACTGAAGTGCACGGAGGACTGAGGCCAAGGGCAAGCGGCTGGGGCTTGGCGTCCTCTGCACAACGAAGCCAGGACTGTAACTTCCTGTGGTCTCCTTGTTTTACATAAAGGGAGGGAGAGGCCCCCTCTGAGAGGCTGTCCCAGTCGCAAAGGGGGCAGGCAGCAATGCTCTCCTAGGCCTGGCGTCCTATGCTGCCTGCCGCGTCAGCTGGAGCTCAGAAGCCAGCCCTGACACAGCGACAGTGCTCAGCAGAAGCCACCACACACACAGGGTAACAGCACGAAGATGAGGCCAGGAAACCAGGCTGGGCAGCAGACGAACTTTTGTTTGATCCTGGCTCTGGCACATACAGTCTGTATAACTAACTCGGGCAAGCCACTCCCTGTCCCTGAGCCTCTGTCCCCATCCATACAGAGGGTACAGCAACAGCCTCAACCTCAGAGCTATGGCGGGAGCGTGTGACCCTGAACCTGCAGGGTCTGCTGAGAAGGGGGATCTGGTCAGACCCACACAGGCCTGGCGGGGTGGTACCTGGGAAGTTGAACCTGCTGTCCCGCTGGCCAGGTGAGGGGTTGGGGGGTGTGGTGGCACTGGACGGGTTGGACGATGTTGGGAAGGGTGCTGGCGAAGAGGGCGTGGAGGACGTGGTGGACGACGGGTTGCTGCTGGAGTCCAGGTGGTTCATGGCCGGAGGGTGCTCCTGCAAGACCAGAGACGTCGAGGGTGGACAGGGCTGGACTGCCCAGCCAGCTGCCTCCACATCTGAGCCTCTCTTCCCATGTGAAAAGAGGAGCTCAGTCCACAGGCCCTTAGTTAGGGTCCTGTTTCCCAACTCTGACATCTTCCAGGTCTAACACGTTTGAGGAAAGAGGCATACAAAGACCCTCCCCTAGTGGATTCTCGATCATCTGTCCCATTATCACTCAAACACACTTCCTGAACCCCGGTTAGGACCATGCTCCTCCTCATTATCCTCCCATAGCTCCCAGCAGTGCTTCAGTGGGGCATCACAACGACAGCCGGTTGACTGCAGAAGCAGAGACAGTGGTGAGCAAGGCAATCATACAGTCCTTGTCCTTACAGAAGATGTCCCCAGAGTGCTGGGGACTCTCACAGATTGTACTAAATTGCAAAACCCTGAAGAGGCAACAGCTTGGACTGGTGCTGTCTGGCATCCTGGAGGGTTGCAGATTCCAGAGCTGGAACGAAGCTTCTAGAAGATGACCAAGGAGCTGGTTTGTTAGGACAGGCCTGGTTCTCACCAGTTATTCCAACTTAAATGTCACTGCCATCTCCTTTACACCTAAAAGTATAACTGATAGGTGACTAATAAATGGGAACCAGGACCCATAGTAGCTTGGGCCCTAACAAGACCAAACGGCCAGTGGGGGGAGACTCTGAGGGGCTTCTGTGTTGGGCAGCGCTCTGGACCTGACCTGTGTTTCGCAGACATAAGGGGTGGGAGAGGAATTCCTTAATCAAAATACTTAGGGCCACACACTGAGTAAAATGCCAAGCTCAAAGTTTTCTCCTCTGCAGGCCTGGAAGGCTTTGGGAGATCACAGTGCATTCTGGGACCTGCCAAAATGGGGGAAGGGGTCTCACTGGCCAGAGACAGCTGACCCTGAAGGGTGTTGGCTAAGGAAGGGAGGCTGGGCCCACTGAGCACCCTCTCTCCCCATTCATGCTCCAAGGCTCAAGGCCCCCCCAGGTCCTATCAGCGGGGCCAGGCCTATGACAAGGCAGCAGAGACCGGCCATGGGGGGAAGCTGAGCCACAGCTCCTCTTCCGGCCTCGGACACACGCCCAGCCTTCCTGAGCCACAGTGCACCATCTACGAGACAGGGGAGCACCAGTGCAGCAGCACGTTACTCATTCATCCAACCCTCAATGTCACGGCTCCCGCTGCTAGTGTGTGTGTGGGGGGAGGATCAGCAGGCCTTTTCAGGCCATTGGTGCCAAAGCCAGTGGAGGGCAGAGAGGAGAGATGGCTGGAGAAGAGGTCCACGGGTGTGGGATGGATCCGCCATGCTTAGCACGCTGGTCCAGTACCGCATGCTCAGGTTGCAGTGGTGACCCTAAACAGGACACTGCAATGACGAGACCGGGCCACTGCCCTAGTGACACAGGAGAGACCACTGGCACCCCCAGGACCTAGATGGGCCCAGAGGAACTGACATGAGGGCTGAGCTGCTGTCCAGTAGGACGGGGGCAGAGGAGCAAGGTGCCATGCTATGAAGGGACACAAGAATGTGCAGGTGTTCAAGGACTGCGTGAGCATGGGGCGGGGGCTGGGTGTCGCTGGAGAGGAGAGGGCAAGGCTGGTGACAGCGGTGTTGGCAATGGGAGCTGCTGAAGAATCTCACCTGTCTGTGATAGGCTGAGAAACCACAGGGGACAGAAAGCTCTGAACATTCCCTCACTATCCTCATACACCCTGTTAGCATTATCACCCTCACTTTACAAACGATGAAGCTGAGGCTTAGGGAGGTCATGCATTTCACTCAAGGTCACAGCGAAGAGAGAAGACTCAAACCCAGAGCTATGGATCTGCCAGGACCCGAGCGTCTATATCCCCTAACCCTCAAGGTGACAGCAGTAGAGGTGGGCCTGCAGGGTGACTAAGTCACTACAGTGGTCCCTTGTGAATGGGGTTAGTGCCTTTATAAAAACGGCCAGTAGCACGGCTGCTGGACCCCTGCAGCCAGCGAAGACACAGCAAGAAGACCCTCCAAGTGAGGAATGGGCTTCCGGGGGACCATGGGGCTCAGTTCCCTGACTGTAAAATGAAGATATCAGCACACCCTTTGGAAATACTGTGAGGGTCAAACAAGACATGGTGGGAAAAACTCCAGGCACAATGAGGGTTCAGGAAATGCTCCTCAGGAGGATAAAGGGCCTGGGAACCATAGCTACGGAACCACAGATTGAACATAAATGTGAAGCCTACTGTTGGCTAAGACCACCCTAAAGGCATCCCCCACCCCCAGCCCAGACTGTGGTGTCCTGTCCTGCTCCCCCACTAAGCCTCCGTGTTGAGAGGCACCAGAGCTCAGGGCAGTGAGAACCTTCGGGTGGGGGTGGGGGCTGCCTGCATACCTTCTTTGTCAGTGCCTTGGGAAGGGTTCCAAAATGGGGTTCAGCGGCTCTGTCCACGGGGTTGTTGATGTCCGAGGGAACAGATTCTGTCCTCCGCAGCCTAGTTACTGTGTGAAAAGGGGAGCCCATCAGCAGGGAACAGATCACTGTGAGGAAGGTTCACCCCAGTTCCTGGAGGTAGAGGGGAGAAGGGGCAGGCACTCACTTGGAAGGAAGGAGATTCTGCAGGCGGGGGCTTCCTTTGTACACTTGTTGTGACATTTCAACCTGGTTAAGGACACGACATCAGTGAAGCCAGGGCTTGGAGAGTCAGGCGGGGGAGCTCTGCTTAGTGCTCACCCGTGACTCCCTGAGCTCCCACAACCTTCTCACACACACAAGCTCTCCAGTGCAGCAGGGCCAGTCCGCTGAGCAGGTGTCACATGTACTGTTGTCTACCCGTCCTCCAGGCACAGCGGGCTGCACTACGCCCACTTTACCTTACTGCACACACACACACATCTATTTCTGTTTCCAAAAGAAAAACAGAGAGAGACCTTCCACCGCTTTCAGAAAGCTCCAGACAGATCTAAACTTACACACACATGCGCGCGCGCACACACACACACACTCAAAAGGAGGAGGAGGATTTGCATTATCAAAGGATTGCAGGGATTCCACAGGCAGCCACTGCATTCACTAGGTGGCCGTGTGTCCTGAGGGGAAGCCCAGGGCCCAGAGCGGCAAGGGCTGGGTTCTCCTCTGGGCACTGCCTAATGCACCGTCTAGTTGTTGGCATCGACAAAATGGGCTGATGATGGCTGAGGCCCTCCCAACCTCCCACTGCAGCTGTAGGGCGGCGTGGAGCTCAGGCGTCCTGCACTTAGCACCCCAGGATAGGAGCTGGAGGGCCCAAGTTTATCCCAGAGCCAAATGGCCAGGAGCCACAGGAAACCTGGACTGGAGAGAAAACTCCGGGACCTCTCGGACGTCAGGAGTCCTCAGGAAGGAACCACCCAGCTGACACCCCCAGGACGCATCCCTGACGGATGACTGCACTGGGGCCTGAGGTCTGCCTTGAGCACAGGAGCTCAGAGGAATTGGCTCACAGGAGCTTGGAGGAATCTCTATGGAATCATCTTCCCAGATGTATAAATGGAAAAAAAAGAAGTCCAGAAAGGACAAGCACAGTACCCCACGTCACACAGCAATGCAGGGTCAATGTGGGCCAGGAACTAGGAATAAAGTAAGGGCACCCAAACAGCTAATGACAGACTGCTCTCTCCCCACCCGCCACTGTCCCCCATCCTTGGTTCTTCACATCAGAAACCACCGTGCTGTGAGAAAAGAAAGCCAGATGCCTACAAAATCCACATTCTCTTCTCATTTTGCCAATTTATAAGTAACTCTTTTTTTTTTTTTACCATGCCTGTCTCCATTTTCCACCCCTTGTGTTCTAAAATTTAAGGTAACAAGACTCCTCGATTTCCTCTCTGCTTCTGCATTCTTTTTCTCTTGGTCTACCTGGTAAACCTCTATTCATCCTCTCAACACCTGCCTAAAATGTTTCTTTCCTCCAGCAGTGCCTCACTTCATCTCCCCTAAAAGGGCCCCATCGCCCCGCTACGCTGGATGGGATTATGAGTGGTTGGTTCACAGGAACTCCTCCCACCTCTGACTTGACCCAAGGCCAAGAACGAAGCAGTAAGGCTGCCCCTCATCTGAAAGTATTGCTCCCCAGCCCTCGCCCGTCACCTGCAGTGTTTGCACTTCACTCCGAACATCATGCTCTTCTGGCACACGTGGCAGACCTGCGACAGCCAGGACTTGGTGGAGAACCTGCCGGGGATGCACACATGTGGGACTGGGGCCCGGTCACAAAGCGTTTCCAGGGGCACAGGGAGGCTGGACACGAGGGCTGTCTCCGCGGACCCCTGCTTCTCCCAGTTGTTCAGATCACTCGGCCACAAAGTTTGTGTGCTTACATTTGGAAAGAGCAACCTGAATCCCCGGTGTGCACGCCCTCAGACACAGTGACTCTCGTCCTTGGAGTTCACCTGAGTGTCAAATGTGTGGACCAGGTACTTTACATAAGGACTGCAACTTAAAAAAGTATCAAAGTGCACATCTTACATGCAATTTGTCTGAAAAAAGAAAGCAAAAAACCAACATATGTGTTTGTTTATATAAAATATTTCTCAAAGGACACAGCACTGTTGAGACCTGACGTTCCCATTAGGAAGTCCAGGGAAGGAGTGGGGGGGACTCTGACCTCTTTGCAACCTCTTGAATTTTGAACCTATGAATGTATTTTTCGGTCCAAAATCTAAACAGTTAAAAATGAAAGACGGCAAGAATGATGGGGTTTGAGTGGGTGGCACCCTCCAGAAAAGAAGGCCAGTCAGTCCACAGGGCAGGAAGGCCTAAGAGCAGACATTTTATTTTTAGAGAATAGATTTAAAAAAAAAAAAATAAGCACAGCACATCATAGTAACAACAAAAAGAATATGAATAGTACTCAAGGAGGATTTAGTGATCCATCCATAAGCACTGGCTCCCCTGTCATGACAACCATTCCAAGAAGTTAGGCAGGTCTTGGGTACCCACATGGTATACAGGCCAAGAAACCAGCCCAGAGAGGGCAGGCAAAGGGCCTAAACCAGCAGTTTGTGGGTGCCCTGGACCCTCCTCCTGAGGCTCTGGTGTGCAGGGTCCGAGTCCTGACAGAGTTCCAAGCAGAGGTCCCTGCCGCACCCCCCCCCGACTCAAACTGTCTCACAGGTACTATAACCTCAGACATGTCACTGAACCTTTGGGAGATGGGGGTCCCCCTGCGGTGAAGAACTCCAGGCCAGCATAGGCTGAGAAGAGCTCACACTCCCTAGGAAACAACAGGCCCTGGCAAGTCACAGTACCTTTGATCGAGCTCCCTACTGTGCTTTCAACAGCTTTTAACAGGACAGCAAGCACACGGGTATCCCAAGGCACTGTCCCGCTGGCCGTCCACCCGGATCCTTGTCACCACACATGGCCTCCCAAGCACTTGGGCAAAAGCCTCTGAGTGGTCCCTGCTGGAGGTTCCTACAAGGCTCTCTCTATAGGTATAAGTGTTGGTGAGGAAGAGACCCCAGGAGGGACCAGCAAGTCTCTATGGTGGCTCGCAACAAGGCAAGGGCTCAAAGATACAGGGCTCTGTCACCCGGAGGAGGAGAAGGCAGGTAGGCAGGAGGCACAGAGCCCTGAGAAACAGCTCTCAAAATAACTGCCAAGCTCAGCAGGGGCTCCCAGCACCCAGTACCCTGCCCTACTCAGACCTACCTGTGTGTCACCGATAGCCCAATGTCCCTTCGTACCATCTGTGGGGATCCATGGGAGAGATCTGTGAGGAAAGAGGCCAGGTTGGGCAAGCTGAAGAAAGGTCTGGGATCTTCTGATTCAGAGGTCATAGGCCGGACAGGATATGATGGTCACCCAGCAGAGAAATTAGCTAAGATCTACCAAAACAAGGACAGGCCAGCTAAACCAGCAGAGCAACATGGTCACCCACATGCTAGGCTTGCTTGCTAGTCACCACACTGCTGGGCCTCTTCAAATACTCAGTTGGCCATTCCTGCAGATTTCTCCCTGATCGGCACAGCCTCAAGATGTCCAAAAGCAAAAAACAAAAACAAAAACAAAAACCTCTCCCCAAGGCAATGCGAAGGTGAAAAAAGTTCCCCCACACTCACCTCTCACCTTCTCAGGGACACACCAGTCTTTAACAGCTTGATTCTGCTACCACTCGTTAAGTGAGGGAAGCCTGAGCTCAGGCACAGGGCACAAGGCTAGTTGGCCGTGTAGCTCAATCCCTACCCTCCCAGCCTGAACACCTAGCAGACCCTCCTCTGACAGCCAGCCTTGCTAGCGCTTGGCAGGAACAGTGAGGACAAGGTGAAGTCCTCACATGCCCAGGACCACTGGGCTCTGCAGGCAGAGCCTCTAGGTATGGATCAGGCACCGTCCCTCTATGCTAAGTGAAGGCCATAGCCTTGGACATGCCCTCTGCCTGCCTCGCTGGAGTGATCCTGGGGCTCCCTCAAGGATCAGGCAGCCCAGTGTTTAAGGCAGGAGGGACTTGGGCAGTGGGTGAGTGCCAGATATGGTCTCTACCTACCTGCAGCCCCCAAACATCCAACTCACACTCCCTACCCAACCTTGTCTCCTCCTAAGTCCTCAGATGGACTTCAGGGGTCCAAGAGCCCTCTGGATTGGTCAGCAGGATGTCAAAAGCTTTTCCCGGCAAACAAAGTCTAGACTTTCATCCAATTATTAAAGGGATCCATGACCCAGAAAGTTCAGGAACAGTGTTTGAGTGATCTGTGGTCATCTTCTGTCCCCTGACTGTGCCTCCCACTGGTGGCCCCTCCTCCATCCTTGAATGCTGGCCTGAGCACAGCTGGTGCTTATTAAGTGATGCTTCACTTACGGCCAAGAACCCTACATCCAATCCCCCAGGAGAAGGGTAGAAGTACTGATCCCAGCCCCCATACCATGGAGATTTTGATGGGGACAAAAGGCCCTCTGCCACCCTCCTGACCAATGGGGTCCCTACAGTTCTACCACCTGCAGCTCTCAGGCACATCTGCCATGGAGCTGACCCTCCCAACTTCCTCCAAGGGCCACTCCACACTAGTCAGCGGTCAAGGCTATCTAAACACACAGCTCCAAGAGGGGCCAGCTGCCAAAGGAGACACTGGGAATGTAAGAATTCAACCGCCTGGCTCTGAATGCAACACGACTTATACTGCCCGCCAAAGGCCCATGTGGCAGGCATGATGGCTGTCTGACCTGCATGCGAACACTGGCCCCGAAGGTCTGGTAGCCTCATTGTGGTGCCAGTGCCACGTTACGAGGCCAGAGCTCTCTCCTAGGGAGGGAGGAGCTGGCTCTGCTAAGGGCCCTGGGGTTTCTGCGTATCCCCTGGAGAGAGGGAAGCACAAGGATTCTCCATCCCATCCTCCGTCTCCTTGGGGTCCCTAGAGCAGCCTCCCTCAGCAGGTCATTGCTTGCTAAGCCTCTCTTCTTCCCAAGATCTCACCCACAACGACACTAGTCTCCTTAACTAGCTATGAACAGTAGGAAAATATGCTGCTACAATAGACCCTTGACTTATGAACTCAGTTCATTCATGAGGGCTGGTTATAACTCAAATTGGTCAGTTGAAGGCTCAGGCTCCTCTACACAGCCTTCAAAGTCTCTCTCCTGTACACAGGCAGATCTCAGTGTTCTCAGAGAGACCCTGGCCCAGGATTTCTCAGGTAACCCCACACAGGAAAGGATGTTGTAAGGTTCCTTCCAGAACTCTTCAAGGGTTAAATCTGCATCTGACACCACCTGGAAGCACAAGCAGCCAGCACTCAGGTCGTATCTCAAGACTTTGTTCACAAGTTAAAACTAAAATTCCGGTTATAACCCAAGTTGTTCATCTATCAGGCCAGTTGTAACTCAAGGGTCTGTTGTACTTAACTAAGTCAAAGAAAATCCTGCACGTTCCTGCATTTCCACTCAATTAAAAGCAGGCTCCTTGGTTGTGTCCCACAAGAGAGAACCAACAATAGAGCACATGCGATGCTGTAACTCATGCCTGTACTGCTAGCTACTCTGGAGGCTAAGTCAGGAAGATCATAAGTTTAAGGCCTGCTCAGGCAACTTAGCAAGGCCCCATCTCAAAACAAAACATAAAGGCTTGCAGATGTAGTTCTGTTGGTACAGAGCTTGATTATCATGTGGAAGGCCTTGGGTTCGTTCAGTCTTCAGTACTGCCCGCCGCAAAGAGACCCTGTTCCCAAAATTGAAGTAGAGCAGTAAAAAATGGGGCCCAAGGTTGCCTGTGCTTTCTCCTCCTCTCCCAGGGTGACAGCCATACCCTGCAATTCAGAGCTGTCTCCAGTAATGTCTAGTAATGTGAGAACTGGTGAGATGGGTCCAGAGGACTCTGAGGACAACTTAGGGCCCCAACTCAGTCAGGGGACACCTCCCTCCCAGCAGCACTGCTTTACCTGGCAGCCCAGACAGAGGTCACTGTAGGACAGCAAGGTGTAGACAGAGCTCATCACAGGGCTACCGTGGACCATGACACTCTCCAGGTCTCTACTTCCCAGACAACAGCCACAGCTGGGCTGGGGCCAGCTATATGTTAAGGCCACCTGTGTCAGAGCTATGTCCTGAAGTGGTCACCGGTGCCTCTGCTTCTGGACTATGAAAAGGCCAACCAGGCCAAGAGGATCAAAGAATCCACCTGATTGGGGCAGCAACAAAAACCAGTGGCAGAAGGGATGAAATGAATCACTCTTACCAAACCTGAAAGAGACAAAAAAGACAGAGCGGGATTATGTCACCACTTGGGCTCAGCAAGTTCCTAGAATATTACCCACTGGGAGGGAGCAGGCAAGGGGCTGGCACAAGGGTCAGAGGTGTGGCTTGGGGCCAGGCTGGCTGAGTGACTGTGGGAAGCCCTGTGATCTCTGTAGGGACATTTCCTCCACAGGAAGGGCCAGAGGGGCCTTACCAGGGGACACTGAAACAACACCCTGAGCTGTGCACTCTAAGACGTTAGCTGATTTAAGCCTCACCAGACACCCAGCATGGTTGAGTTCACCCTACTTCACAGCCGAGGAAACCGAGGCTCTTGAAGTTTTTCTAGGCCACATGACCCACAGGTGAAGGCAGAAGTGGTCAGTCTGCTGGAGAGGTTGTGGCTGGGGCAAAAGGGCAGAGAAGACAGCTACACAGAGCACCCCAAGAAGGGTCGGGTGGGGGAACACCTGAGCGACACATCCTGCAGGACTGGCGCTGCTCCTGGGGACACAGGAGCAGGGAGGAAGGAGAGCACTCTGCCTGCTCCCAGGGCTCACCATGGCCTGCACATCCATGGCAGTGCTGGTTTTGGTGGCACAGGTTGCGGGGAGGGGGTTAGACTCAGAATCTCAGGGTCTAAGGCTGGTGGTGTCCCTGGCCTGAGGCTCTGTTCTTTGCCCAGAGCATGGGAACAGGAGCAGGGCTTCCTAATGCTCTTCTTGGGAGAAGATGAGAGACCAGGCATCAGGGTGCAGTCCGCTGTGAGGCCCCCTTGAAGGACCCACATTCACACAGTAGTATCACTGTGTCCCATAGCCAGAGTGTGTGGGGCAGCCCGATCAGGAGGCAGCCAGGGTACCCTGGGCTCCTGTGCCCCAGCCGGACACTCCAAGCCCGCAGAACTCTCCAGGGTCCTTCACAGTGGATGGGGGGAGGGTGTCCTCCAGCCAATGTGACTCCAAGCCCAAGACAGACAGGGCCCAGGAACCCTCTAGAAAAGGGGTGCCCGTGTCAGGGAGAGAAGCCAGTTATACCCCAACCTTCAAGGATACAAGAAGTGAGAGGCACCCAGAGAAAAGAGCCTTTTGTCCTTCCATCCTACCCACACAACCAGGTCAACGGGAGCAATCTTTATAACAGCAATAAAGACAATGATCTAAGTGTCCACCAAAAGGGACAAGGTAGATAAACTATGTAATGGAACAAGTCTGTAAAAATAAGGGTGCTTGAATTACTGAAGATTCATACAAAATGGAAATCCTAGTTGGCTCCTGAAAGGGGAACCAGGCGGCAGGGAAAATGGTGAGGGACACACGTCTTACCATGTACCCCTACAGACAGACATGAGCCACAATGCTGACGCAGTCTGGACCATGTGACTGTCACCTATTCAAAATGTATAAATAGAAAATATTTTTAAATTAAAAAAAAAAAAAGTAAGACACTGCAAGATGCACTGACGTGGTGTTCTGATTTATCAAGGTACCGTGAAAACACAAGTCACAGGACCAAGTCCATGGCGTTTGATAGTCATTAGTGTTTTGAGCCAAATATTCCAGTTTCTCCTTCTGGCCATAATGGAAAATTGCATCATTTGTTCCCTTGTCTGTGCAGAGCCACGAACAGTGAGGAGAGCTTCTGAAACGGGTATGGTTGTTCAAACCCAGGAGGATTGGTTCCAGGACTCTCCTCCTCCACCACGGATATGAAAACCTGCAGGCACTCAAGGCCCCTATTAAAAATGGTATAATATTTGCATATAACCTGCCTATATTCTCCTGTACACTTTAAGTCATCTCCAGATTACTTGTAGGACCTAACGCCACGTAAATGTATTAGAAAATAATGACAAGAAAAATCAGTGTGTTTATGTTCAGGACAGACAACCACTGTAGGCGTAACTTCATAGTATGTGTCAGCAACAAGGTAACTTTCTCTTTCCAAGTATTTTTAATACGTCACTGAGCGACGTGACTCTGCAACCCATGGATACAGAGGCTCAACTGCACTTGATGGCCAGTGCTCACCATCTAGAGTTCACTCTTCCCTCTGTTACAGTGGCCAAGGATGCTCTACATAGTGGCTATTCTGATCCATCTGTGACCTGGAAGGAGGCAGACCCACAAGGGACAGGCAGCCCAAATGAGAAATAAATCTTTGTATCCTGGAGATTTGGGAGCCGACGGAGGCTGGTTATGTGGCATCATTTTCTTTGTGCATTACATCTACTGGGCTCCAGCCCTAACTGCTAAAGTCCGATGGGGACCAGAGTGAAAGACGGGGACACCTTTTGCTTTTCACTTCACACACATCTACACTGGCTGACTCTATCTGTCCCTCTTATGTACCTCTATGAGGAGGAAGCCACAGTCCCAACTCACCTCACTGAGGAGACCTCGTCGATGCGGTTTCCCAGCTGTGACTCATGCGACTTGCTCCGAGTGAGTGTGGGGAAGCTGGGCAGCAGCTGGAAGACCTTGCGACTGGGTGGGGGGGGCGTCCTTGGCGGCTTCAGCTTGGCGTGGCGGCGCAGCTGAGGCGTGGCTGGAGGGGTGATGAAGCTGTGCAGGGCGCGGGGGGTCAGCCGGCCGCTGGTG